ATTCTAGAATGGCGTAAATCTTGTCAAAATATGATAAGAAAGCTATCAAGGGAAAATGGAAGATAATATTATAAAGAAAACCACATTATATTGCTGGATAGAAAATTCCATTAGGTCTACAAGATGTTGCGTGCTTCATTTTAATTTTTAGCTTAACACAGTGGACTACTGTTATTTTCTTTCTTTCTTTCTTTCTTTGTTCTTTTTTTTCTTGGTCCAACAGTATTACATTACAAAACTAAATAATTCATTTTGCTGGGAAGCAAACAAAGCTGCAAATAAAAGCTATATAGAAAAATAGGATGTAATTTCAAGGCTGAATGGTCATCACATAGGAGCTTGTAAAAAGGATAAGATTCCAAATTTGGGTTTTGAAAAAGTAGTTAGCTCTTGATTCATTTTGATATTCCCATATAGTCCAATGCTAAGGGAGAAACTATTTTTGATCTGCAGAACAGACTGCATTTCTGTTTTTAATGGTAAATTCATAGAGATAGGCAATCAGAGCTCCTTTTATGTTATCTTGGGGGTGTGAAGGAGTCCCTGATTGTCCCAGTATTGCAGAACTAGTTCTAATGCATGGGTGGGCCTCAAGAGGTCTCCAGACTGTATTCCCCCTCTCCACTACTCATCACATTGAAAAGGAGGGGAACAAACCCTGAGATTCCTAGATTCTTCTTCTCACCGGTAAATCATTCCCATTTCCCAGTTGAAAGAATCAATAGAACTCTTTATAGTTTCCTGGTTCAGCCAAGGATAAAGGTAGTAACTAATCATTTTAGCCTTCCTTTTTGTTACTTCCACATAGTAGTAACTGCCAGCTGCAAAATCAAAATAAATTTTTGCTCCTTCAGAATGTTAAATATGGCCATCCATTTATATACTAAACTCTCTTTCTCTTTTTGCTGAGTGAAATGGTGCAACAAAGGGCAACATTTTTGGAACCAAGGTACCAAAAATGGACTAAATTTAAAGAATGTGTTCAGTATCGAGAACCCATAACTCCGAAGTGACTGAAATTTAGGAAAGGCATGGCTGCTTCAGAAGGAGGGTGGAAGGGAGGGAGGGAGGGAGGGAGGGAGGGAGGGAGGAAGGAAGGAAGGAAGGAAGGAAGGAAGGAAGGAAGGAAGGAAGGAAGGAAGGAAGGAAGGAAGGAAGGTTTTTGATGCTCCTTGCCAGCTTCCCACAAGGAAACTCAATAAGAAAGCCGACAGGAAGCTGAAAGCTGATCCTGTTTCCACTGCTTTTTTCCCCACTCATCTCTGTTTAGGTGAGGAAATATCATTGAAACGATGTTATAAAGCAGCACAGGTTGTCTAGTTAGACAGCAAAGTTTGTCTATCCTTTAATTTGAATTATTCCTCTCCAAGAAGAACTATATGTGAATGACTTCTCTCTAACTATTGTTGGTCCTTGGGAAGCCATGGAACATCTAGAAAAGGTTTCTATAATGGATGATAGGACATGACAATAATTCTTGTTATATCACTTTGTAGATTAAACAAATGCAAGATAACCACACTTCACCTAAGTAGATTTTTTTTTCTTTTGAGACAATCCTAAAGCAAATTTGTCTTTCATCAAATTCAGTGGGAGCTGGTAGGAAAAACTGCAGAATAATTGATCAGCCTTGAGAAATTGGAACATTCTACCTCTGATTTCTTGTATCTAAGAAAGTAGTGAACTCAATGAGACACACGATCCTGTATAGGGTTCTGTTATGCTTTGCCTCTTTCCAGCCAGAAAATAGGTTTTTTGTACAAGGACAGGCAAAATAAAAATGATGGTCACATTAGTAAGGAGCAAGTTTAGTTAATTATGCTTAATGTTATAGGACAATTATTGAACTAATCAAATGCAACTACAGACTAGTTTATCAATATGAGAAATGCACAGATATATATATACTTCAAATATATTAGTAGTAACCTGAGACTTTTGCAGTGCTCTGTATATGAAAACTGCCTCTGAAGAGGATTCAGAAACTTCAGATGATGGATACACAGTAATAAGGTGGCTATGTGATAACATATGTAGCTATCCTTAAATATTTGCCCTTGTTGCCCACAACATTGGTCAATTTAAGATGTTAGTTTTAAATATGGAAGCTGTAAAATGCTATTTGAGGATCAATTGATCTGCTAGGTGCTATAAATTTCAGAAACCCAACTAATAGAAATCCATTTGTCAAGTCCATTGTCCATTTGAACATGGGGCGCTATCTAACAAAATTAAATTCAATGGTGAAAATATAAAGTTCTCCATTTAGGCAAAAAAAGCCAAATGCACAGGTACAGTATAGGTGGTACCTTGCTCAATAGTAGCAACTGTGAGAGGGATCTTGGAGTCCTAGTGGACAATCACTTAAATATGAGCCAGCAATGTGCTGCAGCTGCCAAAAAAGCCAACACAGTGCTAGGCTGCATTAACAGAGGGATAGAATCAAGATCACGTGAAGTGTTAATACCACTTTATAAGGCCTTGGTAAGGCCACACTTGGAATACTGCATCCAGTTTTGGTCACCACAATGTAAAAAGATGTTGAGACTCTAGAAAGAGTATAGAGAAGAGCAACAAAGATGATTAGAGCATTGGAGGCTAAAACATATAAAAAACAGTTGCTGGAATTGGGTATGTCCAGTTCATGAAGAGAAGGACTAGGGGTGATATGCTAGCAGTGTTCCAATATCTCAGGGGCTGCCACAAAGAAGAGGGAATCAAGCTATTCTCCAAAGCATCTGAAGGCAGGACAAAGCAATGGATGGAAACTAACCAAAGAGAGAAGCAACCTAGAACTAAAGAGAAATTTCCTGACAGAACAATTAATCAGTGGAAAAACTTACCTCCAGAATTTGTGAATGCTCCAACACTGGAAGTTTTTAGGAAGAGACTGGACAAGCATTTGTCTGAAATTGTACAGGGGGTTGGACTAGACGTCCTCCAAGGTCCCTTCCAACTCTATTATTAATATGGTGGTGATGATGATGATGATGATGATGATGATGATGATGATGATGTCTCTAAGGTATGGAAGTGTAGTTGATTGTCAGTTGCTCTGCTTTTAGAAAAAAAAACATCAAATTGCAGTGCAATTTTTCCAACATATAATTTTTCCTTATATGTTGTAAGTTTTATACATTACTATATTGTATTAATTTTCTCTTTAATTGCTTTATTTGTTAATTTTGGGGCTGTAGTTAATCATAATGAAAATAATTTTTTTTTGCTGATGATATATTCCTGAAATTTTTAGCATACCTTAAACCTGAAGATGAACTCTAGGAGCAGTAACTGTTGATTTTTCCAGTTAATATGTGAAACGTTTTGTTTGTGATGGAAGTTCTGTGAATGCCCATTCCTAAGAAAAAAACTTTGGCTTTAAGCAGCCTCATCTGCTGTTAACGTGTCTCCTGTTTATCCAACAAAAACAGTTTTCAAAGATGTGAGAAAAGGATAAGAGTCTAGAAATTGGCAGTTAAGGGGATTGCTTAGATGATGATGATAATAACAGAAAAATAAAAATATTGATTTATTTTAACGTAAAAAAAGTGGATAGTTTGGTTTAGTGGGTGGGTTGTAAAATAATTTTAAAACATTAAAATAAATGCCTGCAGAAAACATTGGAATCCCAGTCCTGCAGTTATCCACTACAAAATTTCTTTAAATCAAAACCTATTATCAAAAAAGCTTCCCATTTCCCAGTTGAAAGAATCAATAGAACTCTTTATAGTTTCCTGGTTCAGCCAAGGATAAAGGTAGTAACTAATCATTTTAGCCTTCCTTTTTGTTACTTCCACATAGTAGTAACTGCCAGCTGCAAAATCAAAATAAATTAACAAGCAAACAAGAATGACTGATGCTTCTTAACTGTATTCATAATGTTAACACTAGACAAGAACATTCCCATAGTGCACACAAAATGCTCAATAAATCAACTCAAACTAAGGAAGTATCTTTGCAGTTTTAAAGGCATCTGAAGCTCAACACAAACCATGCATGCTAAAGGTTAACATAACAGTTAGTGTTTGGTTTTAGACAATTTTAGACATGTTAGCTACAACTGCAAAATACTTTCATGCATCAACACAGATACTTTTGTATTATACAGTTGCATAATCAAGTGCAGCTTGATTAGCTTACTGTAGGAATAACCCGTCCATCCTTTCATGTGTAAGTTCCCCATCTTTTTTTTTTTTAAGGCAGTGGCTTACAGATCAATGTGGCAGACATAGAGCAGTCTATACTCACCTTATCTATATGTTAAGCAATATGTTTAAATATTTCTTACATCTCTCTTAAAACTGCATTTCATATACCTTTATCCAGTCTGAAATGGTTTGGTTGGAGAGAGCTTGGCATAAAACAGCCCAGTCACTGAGTTGGAACAGTTAAATCTCTGAAAACACAGCTCAAAAATAACCAGGTCCTGTTTTGTTCCATCCATGAAACAAAAGTTTCTAAACAGTATTTATAGTCAGACTATCAAAATAAATAATCTGAAGATGCAATAATCTGAGGGAAAAATATTTTGCATATGTTTTGTAAATATAGAATCATAAAATTCTTTATTGGCCAAGTGTGACTGGACACACAAGGAATTTGTCTCTATGACAGCAAGTAATAAGTCATAAATCACAATAAACAATTAATAAATCAAAAGAAACCAATAGGAGAAGATAGTAAGAAAGATGAGAGGATGAGAAAGATGAGAAGTGAGACAACGCTGTGGGAATTAAGTGTTCAGCAGAGTTATGGCCGGGGGGGGGGGATGTCTTTGTATTTAGTAGTTTTGGCATGCAATGCCCTATAGCAGTATCCTGAGGGGAGAAGTTGAAATAGATTATATCCAAGATTTGAGGGGTCTGCAGATATTGGTCACTCAACAGTGACACACTGGTGTAACGGGCGCAGCAGCACCTGCATTTTCTGCGTCACATAAGAAAAGTACATCTTCCTTCTCCTATCCTTACCACTTTCTATAGAGGGACACTCCAGAGTATCCTGTCATATGGCATTACTGTCTGATTTGGAAGCATTATTGCTTCAGACAGGAAGGAGGTGCAAAGAGTGGTGAGGATGGCAGAAAAGATTATTGGTAGTTCACTTCCTTCTAACTTCTGGTTTTCATAGTGAACCATTAGTTTGTGTAATGATCTCAGCAATCACTTAACAATTGTTGTGAAATAGGTCATAAAATCAAGTTACCCTGCCATGGGAAGCATCTCCTCTCTGGATTGGCAAGGGTCATCGCAGCCCTATCACCCACCAACAAACCCCGAGCCATTCTCAGATGCCTTCAAACAAGAGGGTACGTTTGATTCCCCACCTCACCCCCTTTCCTCTATCCATCACAGTGAAGAGATCTGAGACTGTGACATGTTCAGAAATGATTTATGTTATTTCAATTGTTTTTGCACCTTCCCACCCAACTTCAGCAAACAACTTCCACCGTCTCCCATGTTTTCATAAATCTTAAAATAAGCCCTTGCAATGTGTTTCCTACAATCCTTTTATTGAAACCATATTAAGGTAACCCAGGTAAGCTAGACTTGAAGTAAAACTGCATTACTACTACAGAGCAGAGCAGAGCAGAGCAGAGCAGAACAGAACAGAACAGAACAGAACAGAATAGAATAGAATAGAATAGAATTCTTTATTGGCCAAGTGTGATTAGACACAAAAGGAATTTGTCTTTGGTGCAGAAGCTTACAATATACGTGCAAAGCAATAGAGTAATAATAATACAAAAATTATATGAGTGTGTGTGATTATTTATTTATATTTAGATTATATTTATATAGTGTATGTATTATTATTTTCATATATGATATATAAAATATAATAATAGGGATTAGTCGAGAAGATGAGAAGGATAACAATAATACTACAGTCGTAAAAGGTGGTGATGTCTCTACCTTTAAAAATCAATATATGGGGGGGGCTAGAAAACTAAACTAATTCTCCCCCGATTGTCCCAATATTTTTCACAGATGACTCCATAATATTTGTTACGTATTGAAACTTATAGCTGTGAGGTTCTACTTACCAAAATAAATTTTATCAACAATTATATTTTGTAAATGTTTTCTCAGGAGGAAGTTGTTTCTGTATGCATATATGTGTGTGTATGTGTATGTATGTATGTAAGTACAGTATTTGTGTGTGTGTGTGTGTGTGTGTGTGTGTAACCTCTACAGTAGAATAAATTATTCAGATGGCTTTTCCTTTTCCTGATGAGCTTTACTCATGTTTAGTATTATTTTATAGCAAGACTCTTAAACCCCACCCTCCGTTTATGGTTTTCCTTTTTTAAAAAAAGTAAATATTGTTACATCTCTTCACTGCTGAGTTGTGGTTGCCTGATTTTTGCATCCCAGATCTGGCAGTTCTCAGTGCTGAGTTCTGTGACAAGCGAAGGGAGATTGATCTAGGAAGCCTAACCCCTCATGAGTATAAGAGTTTTAAGGGGATTAGCTCCAAGGTTTCTATCAAGCTTAAAACTATCAGGTTTAAAAACTATCAGTTCCAGTCTTGTAGTTTAGAGAGCAACATCTCCTCATGTATCTTTTTCTCCCTTGTTGGGCTTGGAGTACATGACCTTGACTATTGTTTAAGTTCTTTTCATCAAGTAAAAACCACTGGTGTCAGAAAAGCCCATAACACTACATCAAAAGAGTGTTTTATTGTCTGTTCTACTATGTGCAATCAAACATTTTGTTATCTTTTTCTATGAAATATAAAAACAGATTTCCCCAGACTCAAGCAACTAGAGTATGTTTCAGCTTTCAGTTGCACCTATTTGCACCCACAAGAATGATAGAAGTCTGAAAACTGGCTTAATTTCACACAGTGCGCCAGCATTTGCAACTGCAATACAACATTTGGTGAAATATTTTGTCCCCTTTAGTGAGCTTTTGCAAAATTGATGCAAGCTTACTGTTCTCCAGTCTTAAATCAAAAGGCACTATTGTTCTCATCCAATGCTAATGGGGAAAAATGTGTCTTAGCTAAAATCCTAGAAAGAAAGAAGAAAGAAGAAGGGGGAGAAGGAGAAGGAGAAGAAGAAGAAGAAGAAGAAGAAAAAGAAGAAGAAGAGGAAGAAGAAGAAGAAGAAGAAGAAGAAGAAGAAGAAGAAGAAGAAGAAGAAGAAGAAGAAGAAGAAGAAGAAGAAGAAGAAGAAGAAGAAGAAGAAGAAGAAGAAGAAGAAGAAGAAGATTGTTAATTTAATTGGATTTGCTGTCTATGTACACTAGCCTGAAATTTGCAAAAATAGATTCAGAAATGAATTCAGAATGGCTGTTTCCACAATAATGAAGGTTAATTGAAAGACCATGAACACTCACAATCTGAAGCTGGCACATAGCAATTGTAAATTGAAAGCAAATAGTCAAAGAATGAATACAAAAGTGAAAAGTGATGTCTGAACTAATGAATAATAGCTGCTTTGGGGAACTATCATAACACTTGACTTTCTATTAAATCAGCCAATCTCAAGGACTGTGTTCAGTTGTGGGAATTATGCTTTAACAGGGCCAGAAGCAAATACGTTGGTGGAGATTCAGAGAATGGCAACAAGAATGATTCAGAGACCAGAAACAAGTCCTATGAACAGAAATGAAGGGAATTGGATATATGAGCAAAGGAGATTGAGAGGGATGAGGTAGCACACTCTTATAATTACCTGAAAGATGTCACCTAGAACAAAATGTCCACATTCTCCTATTCCAGAATGCAGAACACAGAACAATAGTTTTAAGTTACAGGAAGAAAAAAAATTCATCTGAGTTTCAAGAAAAATCTCCTAACAGTAAAAGCAGTTTGAACAACCAAGAGAGGTAGCAGAACTGATTACCTCGATTTTCTCCCAGCAGGCTCTGAAACTGAATTACGTTTAGTTCAGGCTTCAGCATACTTAGAATAGACCATTTAAATCAATGGCACTGAGCTGTCAATCCAATTGTCTGTTAACATCAACAAGGCCCTTTCAGTAGATAGTAGAATTGCTTCCCTTTGAAAAACAGCCCCTGTATATTCTCTCCAAGGCCAAGAGAATGTGATAAGTTGATCAATTGTATTAAAACCGATTTCCAGTAAAAAAAAAAAAAATTGTATTGCAACATACACACACACACATACAGATACAGAGATAGATAGATAGATAGATAGATAGATAGATAGATAGATAGATAGATAGATAGATAGATAGATACACACACATACATATATACAGTATAGACATATACATATATATACACACACACACTTAAATACATAAATACATACATACAGTAAAGAAACATATACTTTTAAAAGCATGAAGGGAAAAGAAAGGAAAAACAAAATTTCATCCATTGAAGGTTGTCAGTGGTAGATGAAAGTTCCTAATGAATTTCAGAAGAGAGAACATTCTAGATTGTAGTTGTTATAGAAAGTTTCTCTTTCTCTCTCTCTCTTTGTGTGTGTGTATATGTGTGTGTGTGCATACACACAACATATTTATTTATTTAAATACCACTCAACTCTTAATAGCCTTGGACAGTTTACAGTAAGAAATTGCTAAGGACAATGAAATAAGTATCATAATAATCAAAATAAAGGAGTAAACAATGGCAAAATTAATGAAAGTGGACAGGTACAAAAAAAAATAGAGATCCACACAATGCCATTCACACCACTTGCAGTTTCTGTAACTACAAAAATATGATACTCTTGGTTCTTAAAATATGTAGCAGGTTCTCTTCTTCTGGTCTTAGAGATGCAACGAAGTCTACAATAACAAAAGCGTTATAAATGGCTCATATATATGTCACAATAGATCTTTTAGAGTTCCAGTGTCCGGTTTTTCAGGGCAAAATGGCAGCTTGACTACAATTCTGGATGGGTTCAGTATTTGAGAATGTAACAGAGGTTACAAAGCTTTCTTCCAGCATTCACTGACATATAGGAAGAAATCCTTTGCATGGTTTCAAGTGGATATGTCCAGATGAGCCCATGCTGAGTCCTAACTTTGTCTTCTGGCCTGTTTCATTACCTCCCAGAAAACCAGGGAGGAGCAAATTACAGATAATCCTCAAATTACAGCCATTCATTCATATTATCATCATAATAAGCAAGACAACACAAAGCATCTGGTATTGGATGCCTGAATAATTTGCCACAGATTTCTTTTTCATATGAAATATCCTGATGCACAGGTATAGCATAGGTGATACCTGGCTCAATAATAGTAACTGCAAGAGGGATCTTGGAGTCTTAGTGGACAATCACTTATATATGAGTCAGAAGTGTGAGGCAGCAACCAAGAAACCAATGCAGTCCTAGGTTGCATTAACAGAGGGATAGAATCAAGATCACGTAAAGTTTTAGTACCACTTTATAAAGCCTTGGTAAGACTTCGGTACACTTGGAATATTGCATCCATTTTGGTCAACACAATATAAAAAATATGTTGAGACTCTAGAACAGTGGTTCTCAACCTTTTTAATGCCGCGACCCCCAACCGGTCGTAAGTCAAGGACTACTCAACCAGTCGTAAGTCGAGGACTACTCAACTGGTGCAGCACCGTTTGCAGAATGGGACTTTTGGCGGGCTCAGCAGGGCAGAGACAGCCTGGACAATTCCTATTGGCTTTTGAAAGCCAATAGAATTAGACTCTATTCAAGAGAGTCTATTCTATTGGCTTTCAAAAGCCAATAGAATAAAAGGGAGTAGCACAGCTAAGGAAAAGGGGGAAAAAATGGCAGACTGCGTTGTTTGGCGACCCCCGTTAAATGGTTGTTCGACCCCAAATGGGGTCCCGACCCACAGGTTGAGAACCACTGCTCTAGAACAAGGGTGTCAAACTGCCGGCCCGCTGGCCGGATGCATCATGCCGAAATGGCACCCACCCCAGCTCCAGCAATGGGGGGAAAGTCACGATATATCACGACACATCACGTAACGTGGCGAGTTTGACATCCCTGCTCTAGAAAGATTGCACAGAAGAGCAACAAAGATGATCAGGGGACTGGAGGCTAAAACATACAAAAAACGGTTGCCAGAACTGGATATGTCTAGTTTAGTGAAAAGAAGGATTAGGGGTGACATGATAGCAGTATTCCAATACTTAAGGGGCTGCCACAAAGAAGAGGGGGTGAACAAATTAATACAAAATACTGTTTATTAAGGCTTTTAAGGCTATTTGGAAACATTAGTGGAAATCACATATTTTAAATGGATATATTTAATTTTTATATGAACAGAATAAGTTGTAGATATTACAGACCAGTTGTGTACCAAAATAGGCACAAAGCTGTGAATTTTAAGGA